GTCTTTATGATAAGAAAATAATTAACTGTGAGATCATTGATGAGCAGGAAGTGATTCATAGAGGCCAAGGAGAATGATGAGGGCCTTCCCTTGGCCCAACCCATATTTTGCAAAACTGTATATGTCAGGTAATACTGAAAAATAAAACCCGTCGTTCTCAACAGTGCCCCCCCCATCAAATCATTTTCTGTAAATATCCAGAATATTAGGGAGTTTTTCAGTGACTTTAGCAATTGTAAAAATACACACTATATTGATTGGACTCAGTATTTCTTAGTCAAAGGTAGGTGCCAAAATGTCTATAAATTAGCAGGGAAAGATGCCTAGGTCATATTCTACTTCAACCAGAGTAGGCCATGATTGATTATGAATATTGGTAGAGCCCTTCAAGTGATTCATCTGTGAGAGCAAAGCCTTACTTAATTCAAGGTCAAAACCATTCAGACAGATGCCTAGTGTCATTTATATGTTTACTCCACAAAACATCTCATGACATACAGACAGAAAGGCGGTCAAAGTGGCTTATATCTGGAAGACTTAGACAGGGGCTCTACTTAGCAGGATGACTCCAAGCTTAGTCCCATATTCAAAGTGTTAAGCATGTAAGAAGTGTGCGGAGTGCCTGTAATACATTTAATGTGGCTGTATTTTTAAACTGAACCGGGTGACATTTCTCAGCTAGTAATTTTTCCATATATCACTGCCAAAATGAGTTGTCTGAAACCTCAGAGTTCATGTAACACCCAAGTTGCTCACTTGTATTTGACTTGGTCTTCTTCCTAAGGCCATAAAGCATCCCTTGAACATTGGCAGGTTTGAGCAGGTGTGTACACATAACTGAAAACTTTTGACCTTCCTCCCTTATCTTCCGCCCTACCCCATGGCCCACACCTAGACAAGGTGATACGGAAGCTGGTGGAGGAAGCTTCTCCGGAGAACACTTGACCTTGGTTTTCCAACACCTCTTGGTGCTCCCTAGCAGAGCTGACCTCAGTCTCCCACTGGGACCCTGCAGCACACCTGCTAGCTGACCACCTTCCTTGTCTCTTCTCCAGGACTTTCCCAGTGCTTCTAGAAATCATTCTCCTCCAAACCTAAGTTCACTCAAATCTTTATCTGGTGCATGCTTCCAGTGAAACCAAACCAAGATATCATTCTGGGACTCTGTGATTCTGTTATTGAATGAATACACATCAAGGACTGTCATGTCTTCTGAGTGAATTGACCTTGTTATTCTATACCATTCCTCTTTTTCCCATCTAATATTCATTCATCTATTTTTATACCAGGAAGTGCACTAACATCCTAGGATTTAGAACTAAGATCCACAAATGGGAGCGAAGACACATCACTGGTTTTTCTGAGTCTGTGTTACTTCACTTAATATAATAGTTTCTAGTTCCATCCATTTACTTGCAACTTCATGATTTTGTTTTTTACAGCTGAGTAAAGTCCATTGTGTAAATATACCATATTTTCATTATGTGTTCATTGGTTGAAAGACATTTAGGTTGATTCCATGTCTTAGCTATTGTGAAAATAGCACCAACAAACATGGTTGTACAAGTTCCTCTGCAGTAGGATGAGTCCTTTGGGTATATGCCAAAGAGTGGTATAGCCAGGTCAAATGGTTGATTTATTTTTAGTTTTTTAGAGTTCTCCATACTGCTTTCCACAGTGGTTGCACCAATTTGCAATTCCACTAGCAGTGAATGAATATTCTGATTTCCCCACATCCTTGCCAGCAGATGGTATCACTTGTTCTCTTGATCTTAGCCATTCTGATTGGGTTAAGATGAAATCCTAAAGTAGCTTGGATTTTCATTTCCCTAATTACTAAGAATGTTGAGCACTTTTTTAAGGTTTTTCTTAGGAGACAGTTGTTATCAAGGGGGAAATGGGAAAAATAGTGGCACTTTAACTGGGGAGGGAGGAAGGATTATGCAGGAGAAAGGTGAGATAAACAATGCTTGGTGGTGTGTGTAAAGCGTAGGGAAAAGGTATTAGTTCAATAGTCTAATGGATAATGAAAATGTGGTACATTTATACAGTGGAGTTCTGCTTAGCAGTAAGAAAAGATGAACTTTGCATGTAAATGGATGGAAACAGAGAGTGTTATACTAAGTGAAGTAACAAACACAGAAAAGCAAGCAGCATATGTTCTCCCTCATTTGTGGATTGTAGTCGCAATCCCTTATACATGAGTATATCCTGATGTAACACCAGGAGCCAGGAAAACGGAAAGGATACATAGAGGTAAAGGAAAAGAAAGAACCTGAAAGAGCGGGAATAATAGGGAACAGATGTTACCAGGGGGTATGTGGGGAAAGTGGGAGTGTTCAGCTGGGAGGGGGAAAGGGAGGGACATGTAGGGAGCCATAGTAGAGGGATTCAGGAGAGGGGGGATTGTGGGATGCAGGTGTTATTCTGGGAGAGGGTGGGGATAATGGGGGCTCTGGGACTGGGGAGGGAGAAGGGAGGTTGGATGGGAGGAAGAAAGAATAGTGATGAATGGATCTTTGAGGGTTAGGGAAGCCAGAGGGAAATGTGTTGTCTTTGACAATCCCTGAGAAATGCACATACAGTGTCTGAACAGTAGCACATATGTAAACCTGGGGGCTATTTGGCAAGGAACACAGTGCCAGACAGGAGAGGCCTCTCTTTGAGTGGTTGGTCAGCATGGTCCAAGAGACTCCCAAAATAACACAGGCTATTTCCAGAACTAAGACCCTACTGCTAAAGACAAGACACACATTGGATACAAGACTTGGAGCAATGGTGCAGGAACTGAGCTGGAAGCCTTCTGCCCAAAGTTTAGCTCTCATGATGCCAGGTGATAATATTCAAGCTGCTAAGGGAGAAAAAAATTCAATCAATTGTGCAACCCAACCCTAAAGCTTACTAACCATAACAACCAGAACAGCAGGCTACCTCTATTGCAGTAGTGGCACTGTTATCTGGGAAGTGATAAACAGCTATCTAGTTGGACTTAAAGCCCTCTCAATGGGAGGGAACTCATGGGTGGCACTGTAAACACAGCCAAATACACATGGACAGAGAGGTCGTAGATTCTAGAGAAAACCCTATCTCTGTCATATCTCTAGACAAATGAAATTTCTTACCATACACTAAATACGGATCCTTATATTTACAAACAAGTATATGTTACACCACTCATCAAAGAAGGTTCTTTTTGCAACAGATGGAGACTGCCGCAGAATCCCACAATTGGTCAGGCACATAGAATAAAAATCCGAGAGATACCTAGTCCTAAGTGATACGTCTACAGTTGAACCTCTACACCTAAGTTTCATGCAACATAGCAGAATGAGAGGTAGAGAGAAAACTGCTGCATCTCTCAGTTCTCACCAGGGAAGCTTCCTTATACAGCAGAGTGCAGCGCACACAGAAGGACACAACTGGCCAAGTTTTAAAGAATAAGAGGCTGCAGAGTGTGTGTCCCTGGACTCCTATATCAAACCTCACCCACCCACAGCTCAGGGACCATTGCAGAAGAGGGGACAGAAGGATTATAAGAGCCAGGGCTGGTTCATGAATTTAGGGAAGCAGAGACTTTCAGGCCACTGGAATCTTGCATATGTGAACTTGTGGCAATGGTGGCATTGAGCACAGGACCCATGCCAGCTCAATCTGGCAAGGGCCCAGGGTGAAGTAAGAGAAATGAGTGGTGGGCCATCCCTAGACTGGGAACTATTGGAGCCTGATTACTACTGGGTAAGGGAGAGTATGCCTTGGTTATGATCTCTAGATAGGCTGACTAGACCCCTGTGTCCCAGGGGCCTGTTTCCTCCAAGGGGCGGGGCCTGCTGCAGAGAATTGACTGTGGAGGGTTAGCCACGGAGGGAGGGCCTCCTGGGCACCATCCTGGACAGGAGCCACAACTAGAGCACTCGAGAACAAATGGCCCAGCATTTACCAACCTGGGGTAGGACTACAGGCCCACAGGCATGGGTGAAAGCTAGCAGTGACTATGGGTGGGCCCTGGGAGCAATATGAAGTGGCAGGCTCATGATCTGGAATGGTGGGCTCTGAGCCATGGTGCAGAGCTGGGCACCTGGTGTTTATCTCTTTGTGACTTACTCCTCCTCCCCACGGTATAAACTATAATAAATTCACATAAAAATATGTTATATGGTTTTCTGATACCGCAAGAGACCCGGAGAGAACTTGGGCAACAAAACTGGTGCAGCTGGGAGGATGGTGTTAAAAATGACAAACTATAGAAGTTTAGAAAAAGCTAGAGAGCTGATGGCAGCGCCAATGTAGTTTTTACAATGGATTATAAGATCTGTAACTAAAAAGAGGCCAGCCACACAGAAGCATGGGCCAAAACTATCTTGTAAACGTGGGGGTATGTTGTGAGTATGGGAAGATTTGTTAAAGGTTATCCGAGGCTAGAAAAACTTTCACTGGCTTTGGACCAAACCAAGAGCCCAGAGAGGCAGCGCAGCCACTACACGTAATAAAAGGTGTGCCCCAGGCAGGGGAAGCCGAAAAGGCCAGGGAGGTCCTGGCAGATCCAGTTGCAGAGCTTGAGAGAGGAAAAATAGTGGGACACTTTAACTTGTGTAAGGGCCTGCCTGACTCAGGGAACCAACAGGCGCAGCAGGGACAGAAGAAACCCCCTGCCTCCCTAGCCCAGTTCAGGGTCAGGTAACTTGAGCCAACACCTGTAAGTGTACCAAGAATAAAAGAATACAAAGGGACTTCATGTAAAATCCCCCAAGTGCAAAATGCCTCCAAAGGGATAACTAAAGATGGTAAAGAGGTAACCAAATTAATCCCTCTGATTTTATTCCCAAAGGAATGGTTTTGTTGATGTTGTGGAAAATTGAGCACAAGGACAAATATTCTCCCTGTGTTCATACAATACACCATGCAATTATATGACCACAACAATAAGATACTTATTTTGTAGTAACACTTGTGGAATACACCTTTCTTGTCTCCATGATCTCAAGTCTGGCTAAGTCTCCTGATCAGAGCTCCACATGTTCCCTCTGTGATGGCTTCTCTGCTGCCGCCTTGGCTCTCAGCTCAGTCCAGAAAGCCACTTCCTTGTCTTTCAGCCTCTGGGCTGCCTGGGTTGGGACTCCGATCTGCAGGTACCCTTCCTGCTGGTCGTACTGTGGCCAATGGGGAAGCCCTCCCCCATTGGGGTTCCTGTGAACAGAATGAAAAAAGAAGTTCAACAATGAAGCTCTGTGTGACCGCAGTGCTCTGAGATTTTCAAGGATGCCCTGGCTTATTTCTTCTGCAAAGCCTGCCACCTTCCACAGATGAGCAGGTCTCCATCTGGAAGAAGCTGTTCATTTTTCAGAAAATTCTTGCTATGGTTTGAATCTTAAATTCCCGCCCCCCCAAACTTCAGTACAGGGTAATGCTAAGCTAGGAGCTAGTGGAAACTTTAGGGGTGAAGCCTAGTTGGAAGAAGCAGGTCATTGGAGGCCTGCCTTGAATAGTGTTGGGAATCAACTCCTTTATCTTACTGCTTCCCAAACGCTGAGAGCTTAGGTGCTGTTTCCCACCATGAGCTCCCCACTGTGATGTTCTGTCTCATCACAAAATGAAATAAAAAGTCCAAGTGAAACTCAGAGCCAAAATAAAACTTACATCCTTTAAATGGATGGACTTCAGGTATTTTGTCCCAGTAGTTGAGGTTAACACACAAAATTGTCACAAGAAGTGGATAGTTCTGTGACTAACCTGATGATGTGCTTCAGAAGAGTTTTGGGTTGGTTTGTGAAGGAATTTGGAAATGTTTGGAGAGTGTGCTGTAGAAAACCCGTAATATAGTGAGTGTGGGATTCTGGTGGGTTCTAACAGGAAAGAAGGCAGTGAAGCCAAGTTTGTGACATTTCAGACTGGAATGAAGCCTCTGTGAGGAACTGGATTAGATGCCATGCCTTCTGTCTGCATTTTGTCTATATCTTGAAATTTTTTTTTAGTATGTTGAGTTCAGAGATGATAAATTGTTTATCCGGTAGAGTAAATTAAAAGGCAGCACAACATTCAGGCAATATTAATGACTTTTTTGTTGTTGTTTATTTCAATCTGATTTACAGTGAGAGTAAGAAGAAAAACCACAGCATCAAGATTTGAAAAACTTAGTTTTGTCAAAAAAAGAAAAAAGGAATTCTTCAAGTTTTATGCCAGAAAGTACAGTTGCTAAAGAGATGCATGCCACAAAAAGTGGCCTAGTATCCTGAGACTGATGAAAAAGGGCGTTACCTTGAGGATTTCTCAGGATCTTCAAAAAGCCCATCGCAGGCTTGAGGGCATAGCTTGTCTCAAAGACATTGCTTGAGATTATAGCTTTGTGATCTCTTCCCCCTCCAGGTGGCCTAACAGGTTGATTCTCTGGGATTTGTTTTCCTATGTTCAGATACTCACAGGCTACTAAAGCTGATGCGCCATGGAATGTAGCTATTATTCAAGCCACAGTTACATCTTGGCATCATCCATCTGGTTCTGGTTTTTTAGTAAGACTAAATGTAAGACTTACAAGATTATCAAAGCTTCTACCTAGATTTCAAACAAAAGTATATGGGATGGTATGTGGAAGGTTTGGTACCCCTGCTAGCGACCCTAAGAGCATGATGCACGAAGTTGTGAGAATGAAGCTAATGTAGCTGTGGAACCTGGAGAATCTGCCCAGGAAAGCCCTTAGGCATACGTAGAGCCAGCCCCAGAGAGGCCGCGGAGGCCGTAGGCAACAATTGTCTTATGGGAATGTCTTCCCAAGCTTTTTAGAGCCCATATCTGTCAACAGATTCCTGGATTGCTGGAATTGGAACTTTAGGATTTAATATGTTCCCGCCTGGATTTTGGACTTGCTCTGGTCCATTGTTTATTGGTACTTCTTGTTTCTCGTTATATAGGAATGTTTAGCCTTTTTCATTTTATCTTAAAAATGTGTTAATGTTTCTATGGAGACTCACAGCTAAGAGTTTGCCTGATATTGGGAACTCCTTGGACTTGGATTTCTAGACAATATTAGAAGTGTTGAAAAGTCAGGAGCTTCTGGCTGCGCTGTGTAGTGGACATGAGCTCCTGTGGGTCTTGAGCAGAAGGTTATGATTTAGAACTTAAATAGCACCCCCAAAATTCATATGTTGAAGCCTTTATCCCTATCTAATGATGCTATTGGGACATGGTGGGAAATTAATAAGGAGGGACTAGTTGGAAGAGGTTGATCATGGGGGATATGCTCCCAAGGAGTTTGTTGGGACCCTGGCCCTTTCCTCTACTTACTGATCACCAGGAAGGTGAGGGACATTGACGCACCACATACTCTCCACTGTGATAGTCTGTTTTGACACCAGACCAGAATAAATAGACCAAGGGACCAAATGCTGAAATTTCTGAATCTGTGATCTGAAATTCACATTCCTTCCTTTAAATTGAACTATTTCAGAAATTTCACCACACCCAAAAATACGATTAACTCAGTTCTAATTGTTAGTGTGTTGTATGCACAGGGACAGGAGGTTTATCACTCAGACATAAGAAACTGCTCCTTCCCACCAGGTGTAACCCACCACACCTCACCTCCAGGCCTGGCATCAGTGCCACCAGCCTTACCCGTTCCGAGCAAAGTTGGCCCAGAATTTCATCATCATCTTGCTGAGGTTGACTTCCTCTCCTGAGGCCCCATCTGTGAAGAAAAAGGAATAAAGTTTACCTACTGAAGATTTAGTTAACAAGCTGTAACTGAAGAACTTGAGAGCATTTTAGAAATGCACAGTAAGTCTATGATCATAGTACCTTGAATGCAACCAATCCGATCTGATCTTTAGATTATAAGTGAGATCAGGCCTGGTTAGAACTTGGATGGGAGCCACGGAGAATCTGCACTTATGACATACATGCTCAGTCAAAACTCTGCCTTTTAAGATCCTGGTGAGTATGGCCACAATTTAAAGTGAAGAGTAATTTTACATAAGCTCTCTGCCTTAGGCTCCTCTGTTTACCTATCTGATCTTTCTCCCTTGGGGTCCAACGGCAACAATACTCAGATTTCTATTTTAGTAAAGTTGCTGGGTCTTAGGTATATTCTCAAATTCCTACACATGCAACTCTTCATATAATCTGAAAATTATGAGAACTACAAAGATCTATGCAGTCACCCAGCAGAGGGATGCCCAGAGACACTGGTGTCTCATAAAAGACATGAGGTAGGGTGCAAGTTGTATTTAACTCTTGAAAACTAAGATATCAAACACTGTGTGAACGATTGCTTAAATATCATATTATTAAATGTATTTAAATATATGATATATATATATATATAAGATATAGTGATATAAAAATAGACAGAAACATGGTTGACTCTGTTCAAGGTTAGCAAAAGTTCTAACCTTCCCTTCATGTTCCAACATCATTTAATGGAAGGAAAATAAAGCAGTGACATTCTTGCCTTAAAGCAGGTTTCTGCAGGTGACCTACTACCTCTCTTACTAGTGTCAGGATTCTGAGAATGACTATGACTGGGGAAACTCTCCATGTATGTGGAAGCATGAGAAAGGTTGAGTATTGCCTGGTGTGACTGAACCCTGTTATACAGTATCAGGAAAGTAAATTTAGGGGAACAGGAGAAACTTGTTCATGATCATCAAGACCCAAACCCAGGCCTCTTAACTTGGAGATCCTATCCAGCAAAGAACAATTACCTTTTAAAAATGGGGCCCCGAATACTGAGAAATGCTCATCACTGTGGTCTCCTTTCACCATCTTGGGTCTCATGTCTGATACGAAGCTTGGGCAATAATGAAACTCATACATATAGGTGGGGTCTCCAGCACCTGAGAAGACATTGATTCAGGTACCGTTCACATTACTCACTACTGGATGGTATCAAGACCAGAGGCCCAACAATTCAAACCACTCTTTACCTATAGAGGAATAAACCATTTCAGACTTGCTTAGGGCTGCACAACTGGTGGAAGTAGAACTGGGAGTTGAACCAGGTGTTTACTCTATGAAATAGGAATGGCTGCAGGAAATACATGTGACGTGTGTTGATGATGATGCACGTTGCTCATGGCTTCCAAGATCAACAGCCTAACAGGAGTCCTCCATTCAGCCTCCCTTTGCGCATTCCCAGTGTTTTTCAGCTCTTCAGAGCAGAGTGAAGCAAATCTAAGCTGCTTCTCTGAAAATGACGATACTTGATTAAAAAATCTGTAGAGGTAGGATAATCTATCCTATGTGTCTAATAGCACAAGAAAAACGAAGTTCACATTTCACGTTCAGCTCTGTGCGTGACCCAATTATAAGGCCTTAAGGCGATAAGGCAGTGGTAAAACAGAGGCGCCAAGCCAAGGTGAACTTGCTTCTCCTCCAACCTCTCTCCTGCTCTCCTCTGCCTTCCACCCTCACCACCAAGGGGGTCCTGAATAAGGGCCAAGAGGCCACTTTTCCTGCTGATGGGATCAATGGAGCCACCAGTACCGTTGTTTATGTGATAACCTGTGAAGTCCCACTTTGGGAGCCTCAGAACTGGGCAGTGGTCATAGTATGGCATAGATGCCCTCAGTGGAGTGACTTGAAGGAGGGAAGGAGGCTGGGAGTCAGTAGGATTGTGTGCTCATGTGCTGAACTGCCAGCTAGAGCCTTGTACTCAGGAAAGGCGCCTTTCAGAGATGAGGGGAAAATGACAGCTTTCTCAGACACACAGAAGCTCATGGAATTTTCTGCCTCCCCACCTGTCTTACAAGAATTTTTAAGGAGGATTCCTTATGGAAACTTAAAGACAGCAACGATTAACATGAAACAAAGGAAAACATGGAAGTAGATGGTATAAAATGAGCCACGTGCAGGACATGCCAGGACTGTAATGATGATAAGGACACAGTTTTATCCTACATAGTGCAAGGGGCCAATAGAAAATTACTGCTGAGCAGGACTTGGTCCCAGCACTTGGGAGGCAGATCTCTGTGAGATTGAGACCAGCTTGGTCTACATAACGAGTGCCATGCCAGTAGGGGCTAGCAGGGAGACCCTGTCTTGAAAGGAATTCACCCAAAAAAGAGCAAAAGAGGAGAAAATTACTGGTAATAATTATAGTTGAAACCAATCTACTAGTCTTAAAATAAGTTACTGTTTGAAATGATGTAAATTCTGACATCAAGGACATAAATTGTGTGTGTTTTGAAGGGCAAAGGTGTAGAACTCTTGTTAAAATTATTATTTATTTTTATTTTACATGTACAAGTGTTTTCTCTGTATGTTTGTAAGTGCCCCACATGTATGCAGTTCCTGCAGAGGCCAGAAGAGGGCATCATATGCCCTAGAGCTGCAGTTACAGATGGTTCAGATGGTTGTTAGATGCCTTGTCAGTGCTGGGAGGTGAACCCTGGTCCTCTGAAAGAGCAGCAAACTCCCTTAACAATCTCTCTAGCCTTCATAGGTGTAGAGTTCTCATCTAGAATTGAAGCTAAACTGTTATTGGTTTAATATAGACTGTTAGAAGCATGAAGCTATATGTAAGACTTACATAGATACAAAGCAAAAATCCTTTTTAGAACCACAGTCTGAAAATAGAAAACACTCAAGGCATATCTTGCAGAACATCAGAAAACCACAAAAGAAGGCACCAAGAAAGGAGCAAAGAATCACACAACCAGAAGATAACTTAAAAAATCGCATTAATAAGTCCTTGCCAACCAAAAATTATTTTCAATATAAATCCTGAAATAAAAGACAGACCAAATGAATTTTTAAACAAAGTCAGCATGTGTTACCACACACACACACACACACACACACACACACACACACAAATTATGATTAAAGACATAAATAGATTAGAAGTGAAAAGCTGGAAATAGATATTATATACAATGGGAAACAAAAAGGAGGAGTGGCAGCTAGAGTTATATCAGACAATAGAGTTTAAGTAAAAAAAATGTGTGAATAACTGGACTTCCTGCATCATGCCTATATTCCCAGCCCTTGGGAGGCTGAGGCAGAAGGATCACTGTGAATTTGAATCTAGCTTGGAATATATTGTAAGTTCTAGACAAGGCTGGACTATAAAGTGAGATCTTATTTAAAAGAAAAAATGGTGATAAAAGATAAATGCATAGCATTGGTGACAAGGTCAAATCATCCACAGCATATGACAGTGGTAAACACAGACCCTGCACCAGAGCTCCTAGATATATACAAGGAATAGTAGAGGCTCTGAAGGGAGAGATAGCTTACAGCACCATGGCAGGAAGGGGTCTGCAGTACCCACATGTCCAACAATGAACAGATCATCCAGACAGAATTCATAAGCAAATATCAGATCTGAATACCATACTGGACCAAATAGACTTAACAGAAATATATAGAATATTCTGCCTTATGCAAACACCCACAGAACATTCTCCAGAGAATATCACGCCTGTGACACCACAAAACAAACAACAAAACACTTATTTAAGAAGACTGAAACTGTACCAGGTATGGACTCTGACAACACTGGAAAGAAACCAAAAGTCAACTAAAAGTGGAATTTTGCAAAATTCACCAATTCATGGAAGTTAAAAAATGCTTGTAGACAACCAATATGCCAATTAATAAATTAAAATAGAAATTTAATGAAATGTTGAACCAAATGAGAATAAAATACAATTCCCTCTAAGATTCCGGGAATATTACAGAAAAGGAGCCAGAAAGAATCTGATACTGAAGACAGGGAGAAAGGCTGCCAAATCCTGTCTTCTGGGCACGACACAGCCATCACACGTATGACCTCAGCAGCTGCACTTGTCTGCACTGGACCTTCACAGAATTGACCCTGTCAATGGACCGATGACCCTGTCTGATGGATTCTGAAGTAGGGTGAGGCATATCTTCTGATGTGTACCCACAGGTAAGCCCACCAGGTTTCACTGGACAGTTCCATACCTGCGGTCACACGGATGGCCCTGGTTAAACGTAGGAGCCCAGGAGCTGGTGTGGGCTGTGAGCTGGAGCTGGTTCTTGATCCCACTGTTTCAGTTTCTTCATCACTCTTACCTCACTTAGCTGATTAATCATCATTTCCACTAATTCCCCTGAGCAAACTTCTCTGAGCACTTTATTAACGTGTCTAACTCCGTGTTAGCACTTTATCTTCAATTTGGATTTCTCATTTTTTTCTGAAGTTTTATTTCTCTCATTGCTTCACCAACTTTATTCTGAACTACTTCTAGTCACCATGATCTTTACCTTAGGTACTAGCAATCTTTTTTATATAACAAAAGATGTAAAGAAATATACTACAACAGACTAAGGTTCAGATTACTTAAGAAAAAATATTCGCAAAAGGATATATGCATATTTGAAGAGAGAAATGGGTCTATAAAATGTTATAGTAATATTTTTTGATGTAAGGAGTGCCCTATATTTATTGTTCAAGAACATTTCTTTTACTAGATTGCCTTTGAAACATTTTGCATTACCAGTTGTGTTTTTGTTAATTGAGAAACTTTTTCTTAGTTGCTGTTGGATGGGCATGTCCTCCGAATGATCAGAAACAGATGGATGATGTCTTCTCCAGTATCCCCCTCTCCCACTTAGGTCTAATAGTTTGCTCTGTAGGAAGAGAGGGAGACAGTTATCCCTCCCACCCAGTCAAATCAGCCTTAACTGCATGAAAGGGAGGGACTTAAGCAAGAGGGGAGGAGGGGCCTTTGCCATCTTGGTGGGGGTGGGGATGGGGGCAGCAGCCAGATCTAGAAGACTCAGCAGAGACATAGGGAAAAAAGCCCATGGGTATCTATACCTTTGTAAGTACCTCACACCATGATATGCTCTATTAGCAAGCCCAAATACATATCTTTATTCTCTAAAATGTAGTTTGGAGAAACAGTGTGTCCGTTGATATGGGACTATGGGAGAAGAAAGCCTAGAACTCACGGGCTTCCCAGAAGTAAATTCGATTTACAGTTGCTGCAGACTTTCATTCATAGAAGAAAAGAGTATACTTTCACCCAAATCTGCAAGAATTCAATGCTAAAATAAAAATAGCATTATAGTTTTCAAAAAGTTCCAAACAACCTAAGATCAAGGAATTAGAAAAATAACAAAGTGCAAAGTTGGAAGAATGAAATTAGTAGTTTGAGAGTTTTTTAAAAATTTAAAAGATGAACAAAACCAAGAGTTTTTTAAAGACTAAATTGATAAACCTAGACTAACCAAAAAATAAGAAAGAAGACTGAAATCAATCCAAAGACTCACATGAAAAGGAGACCCTCCTACTGACACCACAGAAATTAAACATAACATAAGAGACCACCTCAAACAAGTATATGCATAAGAACTGAATAACATAGATGACACTGAGACAGGTAAGGGGGCTCACCTCTCCCTGGCTGACTGGGCAAGTGTTAAACAATTAAAACTCTTAAAATCACCATCCCTGTTAACATAAGTTCTTTGAGTTATTGTAAGCACTCCTTCTGATGTTAATTTTCCTGTAAATAAGCAAAGATGAGCTGTTGGACTCTCCCTTGCTATCCTGGCTGCCTTGAGCTGGAAGCATGTCAGCCAGCCAGCTGCACCATCCTTATGCCAACTCTAGACACCTTGAACACTACTGATTCCTTGAGAGACCTACACAATGATGGCAGGTGCGGTACAAACAATAAGTATAATAAATAATAAATTTAATCAGGGTGGTGCTGTACCCGAATGGTGAAAACCATGCCTCACAGATCAAGGAAATTAAACACTCAAAACTAAATGGAAGGAGATCTCTCAACATGGAGTAGAGATTAATTTTAAAATGTTCATAGTGCTCACAATAATCTGCTGGCTTAATTAAATTCCTGTTCAATTTCCGTTGTCATTTTTCTTCATAGAAATAGAAAAAAATGTGCCTAAAAATGTAGTCATCAAGACAATCATGAGTAATAAGAAAAAGCAGGAGATGCCAAACTCCCTGATTTCAAACTACATTATACAACTATAGTTACTTGAACAAGGTAGTATTTGCTTTATTTATGTGTATATATATTGAACAGTGGGGCATAATAAAGCCTAGAAATAAGCAGAGGCACATACTGACTGATATTTGACAAAGGTGCCAAGAATACACAGTAAGATCAAGTAGTCTCTCAACAACAAATGTTGAGAAAACTAGGTTTCCATATGTATGAAAATGAAACTTGACCTCTCATATATTAATAATCAACTAAAATGGAGTGAAGACAAATATACTATCAGAAACCCCCAAACTACTAGAAGAAATTAAAGGAAAACTACATAGTTTTAGCTCAGACAAATCAATTGCTTGATTTAACTTCAACACAGTAAGCCACATAGATAAAACAGATGACTCCAAACAAAAGGATTCTTCACCGCAAGGAAAATTATTAGCAAAGAAAACATGGCAGGAGAAATATTCATAGTAGTTATATGTAGCAAATGCCAACTCAAAAAATATGTAAGGGACTCAAACAACTCAGTAGAAAAAAATAAGTAAAAAGTAAGAAATAGAAAATTGTTCAGAGGCTTGAAAAATACCTTTCAAAAGAAGAAAAACAGGAAGAAAGATTCATGAAAAACACTTAATGTCGATAATCATTGGCAATATGCAAATAAAAACACAATGAGCTATTATCTCACTTGTCCAAATGCTTTTATCAAAAATTGAAAAACTGAAAATCTTGGTAAAGATATTTTAAAAAGGGAATCCTTTTACAATGTTGGTGTGTGTTCTAGATTGCTTTCAATTGCATTGCTGTGACAAAACACTCTGACCAATACCAACTTGAGGAGGAAAGTGCTTATTTGGCTTGCATCTCCTGGGTCACAGCTCATCACTGAGGAAACCCACTGGTAGGAACTCAGGGCAGGAACCTGGAGGCAGGAGCTGAAGCACAGGCCATGGAGTAAGTGTTTATTGGCTTGCTCATGCTCAGCCTTTCTTATACAATATGGGGCCACCTGCCAAGGGGTGGCATCACTCACAGTGGGATGGGCCCACAGACAGGACCACAGGCCAGTTCAATGGAGGCAATTCACCAATTGAGGCTCCCTCTCCTCAGGTGTGTCAAGTTGACAATCAAAGCTATCTAGAACAATATGAACGTAGAACAATGTGGGGCTCCTTACCAAACTGATAGAGCCACAATATGATTCAGCAATATTACTAATGGGGATTTATTTTAAATATTTGAAAACAATTTGATGAAGAGATGTCACCACCCCTTTGTTCGTTGGCATTACTCACAATCATCAAGCTATGGAATCACCCTGTGTGTATCAACACAGGAAAGGTTAAGGAAACTTGGATGTATAGACAATGGGTTCTATTTAGTTTTAAGAACAAAATGCTCTTTGTGACATGGGGGAAACAGAGAACATCATGCTAAGTTAAATAAGTCAAGCATAGAAAGACAAATGGCACAGGATAGTTCAAATATGTGGAATCTAAAACAAGTTAAATCATAAACATACAGAAAAAAATTGATACTGGCTAGAAAGCTAGTAAATCGCACCCTTGAGTGTGTCTATGAGGGTGTTTCCAGAGACAATTGGATCATCAGGATTTTGACCTAAGAAGAGTTTAATTCACCATGAAAAGTGCAGCCTGTTTGGAGGAAATACATCACTGGGACCACGTTCACATCGTACCCTAGACCCTTTCTATTGCTGCTCCACATGGCTTCATTGCTTCTTTATCCACATGATGTGAGGTCTTCCATCACATTCTCCCAACATCACAGACTGGAACTCTGAGACTCTGAGATGAAATAGATCTTTTCTACCTTACATTGCTTATGTGAGGCTTTCTGTCACAGCAATGATAAACATGATTATCATAGCTCTTTATGAGTATTCCATGGCCCTGAAACAGACCAGCCTAAGTCTTCATGCAGCATCAATTACTCTCATCCAGACATTTTACTCTTACTATTTATTGTTCACTAGAACCAACTCTGCTCATGCTTTCAAGAACTGAAAGGGCTATAAAGCTAACTACCTCTAGTAGAAACCTTTAGCCAATGAGATGTGGCCACCGGTAAGGATACAGTTCCCTGACAGCTCAGATAGGAAAACCTGAAGATGTTTCCTCCACTTGCTCCCCCAGAGCTCTCCAGCTGCAGCTGTCTAAAGTAGACACATACTGGGTTGTTGTCAAGACTGGCTTCCATCTCCATCTTTTCCCTGTGTCACTTCTTCATCTCTCTGTAGAGTTTTCTGGGGTCATCTCATAACTTAAATTGCATGTGAACCCTTTTCTCACAGACTATTACTTGGAGAAGCAGAACAAGACATTACAGACCATATGGATTCAGGTTTTGAAACTTGACCCTCAGCAGATTTCATGTCTGTCTAATCTGATAAGTGGCAGAGTCAGAGACCCAGCTGGTCTCCATCCGAAACCTGAGACTCACCTCTGTGGGCACGGGACACAATCACAGATGGAACTCCAAACATCACATCTCCCATCAAATCCAGCAGCAGGTATTTCTTTTTATCAAGATCATCTGTCCCTCTTAAATACTTCTCAATAGCCACTGGAATCAGGGTCTCAGTGATGTTCTGAAATAGATCAAAGAGTGACCACTCTACCTGATGAACAATGGCGTGCACTCCAGGCAGTTAAGATGGCTTCCTGGAGCATGAGCTACTTGAGTATTATACCAGTCACTCCTGGTGTTAGCCACAGGGAGCCAAAATAAACTCTAAGATTCATTTGCCTTTAAATGATTTTAAGTCATTAACATTGGAGCTTAGGCATCTTAGTAACATTATTGTCCCACTGATTTTGATGAAAAAAAATCCCCTTTAACTGACTACCTAATGGTTTAAATCTATTCCCAAATAGATGCTGTCTTTTTTTTTTTTTACAAGTTTCTGCTGGTCCTGTGGGGAAAAGATAAGTTTTTCTATCTTCCCCTGTTCTCTGTGGAAAACACCAGACACTTTTGTATACTAATAATTAACTTTAAAATAAATTATTCTGAAATAAATCAAAGAAGAAGAAAGAGTACTTGAAGTTATCAGAAAAAAAGTGATGGGGAGATACAGGAGGAGTTGGAGGGGAGGGAGTGGGCATGGATTTGATCAAAACACCTTATATGCATGTATGAAATTCTCAATATGTTCCAAAGGCCAAAAATGTCAAAAGTATTTGGGAACTTGTATCTGATCCTTAAAAGATTTTAGGGTCACCTCTTCGGGGGAAGGGGGGATGTTGGAGGGGAGGGAGTGGGCATGGATTTGATCAAAACACCTTATATACATGTATGGAATTTTCAATAAAGTTTTTGTAAAAATAAAGAAAGAAAGAAAGAAAGAAAGAAAAATAAATTATTCTAGGTAAGTGAAATGAAAAAGAAATGAGTCATAAGATTCTCTAGTCAGTGATTTTCTTTAGATCTATGGAGTCCAGCATATGCAGTGACTTACAACCCATGTGTCAGAAGAGAGAGCACCCCAAATTAGCAACTACCATGGTGCATGCCTATCAGATATGCCTCTATATAAATATCTACATTAGTCTAATCCCTCCAACTCTTCATTGCTGGTCTGCATTGTTGATAGCCTCCATCTTTGATTTGCTATCTTTCTAGATAAAACTGTTTTCCAACAACTTTCCCTGGATTCACTTGGATTTTGGAGAGACAAGTGACAAAGGAGTTTCTTACAAGAATAGCAAAGATGGAAAGAACAAAACCGGGGTCTGATTCCCCAGACCTAAGCACTTCTTCAACCACTGAATTGGTCTGTATTTTTAGGGAAAGCATCACATTTCTTTGTTTCTCAACCAATTCCCATAATTCCTAAACTCTTATGAGAATGGGGTACGACTGCCACAGGAGGGTTGCAGCCATCTTCTGATCCAGTTTGCCTTCCAAGAGTGGAAAGCCTATCATCTGTTAAAGAAATAGTCAAACACTCATGAATCATGAGGAAATAATATAAGAACCAAATGGCCAAACAACCAAATCATTGTGTAAGGAAGCTTCATTACTGAGCTTTGATAAATATGAGATGTTGTGTCTGAAGAGATAATCAATGAAACAAATGGGATTATATCCAGAAACTTGGGCATGTGAGAAAATACTTAAATATATAATATATATTTTATATGCCATATACTGTATGTACAATGTACTTATATATATATATAACATATGTACTTATATATATATATAACATATGTACTTATATATATATATAACAAAATAAATTATATAATATATACCACATGCATACCATTATATTATATTGCATACAATGCATACACACAGCAGTCCTCCAGATAGTGAAGAAACATTCAGGCCAGAATAGTACAGACTGAGAACACAGAAAATGCTTGCTATCCCTCACAGTCTTGTGAATAAGGAAGCCAAAATTCAACCACAATGGCTGGTTTTGGTGACCTCTTAAGTTCTTCTGCAAAAAAAAAAAAAAAAAACCCCACTGCATAACTATCCATATGTCCAGATCCTATCTCAACCTCTGGACTCAGCTCTGAACTGCCTCCAGCACAGCTTCTCACACTATAAATCCATGTCCTACCATGACCCCAGTGTCCCTTTGATGTTTGCATGGGAAATTTCAGTACATTCAAGTGAAATTCTGTTCTCCAGCCTACACACAGTGATGGGAAGACTGGCCCCTGAGCCCTCTCTTAGAACACTAACTTTAGAACATTTTGCAATTAGCAATCCTTTCTCTGCCTTTGAAATAAAAATTTCCCACCAAAATTAAGTTCTCAAGGACTTGAGAGAAAATCTTCTTGCTACATTATGAACACATTGGATATATAAACATTCCAGGAAATAACTCTTGATCTCATTTCCAGTCCCTGGAGTGTGTGTGTGTGTGTGTGTGTGTGTGTGTGTGTGTTACTATTTTTATTTTATGTATATGAGTGTATTGCCTGCATAAATGTAAATGCACTCATGTTATGCAGTGGAAGTCAGAAGAGAGCATTGAATTCCCCTGGAACTGGAGTTATGAACTGCTGCTAGCCACCATTTGGGTGCTGGTAATTGAACCTGGGTCCTCTGCTAAAGCAGCCACTGCTCTTAACTGCTGAGCCATCTCTCTAGCCCCCAAAGTCATAACTTTGATAAGGGCCTTACTTCAACTTACAGCTTTGCTTCTGGTCATGATGAGAGAGAAATCTATTCCTCTTGCTGATGGATATGAGTTAAGTTTACTAACCCCATGACATGGACTTAATGCTCCCATTATAGTGTGCCTCTTAGAGTTCACCTCAGCCTTGAAACCTTCACAGCTATTCCTGTCAAGAATCTAACCTCAGGTCATGCTTTCCCTTTTCCCTACTGCAGCCATGTTACAAAATAAGATGTCCCTTATTGGTTTAATCAGTGTCTGTATTTATCTTTGACAAATTAAAATTCCTTCTTACCTTTTAAAAGCCAATGTTAATGTAATCAGAAGTGATTTTTTTCTGAATCTTTGTAACGAGGCATCTGAGAACGACTGCAGAGATCTATGGGGCCTCTGAGTTCAAGTCCAAGGTAGAAACTGTTCTATCACAGCCTGACTCTCCTAAGCTCCAGCCCTTTCCCTTTCTAGATGTTCTTGGATGCTCTGTTTGTACAATTATTGTTTGTACAAGGTCTCCCCAGCCCAGGAATTTCAGGATTCTTTGAGAAAAGATGATTTGGGGGAGAGGGGTTCTCAGGGCTATTTCCAGAGGACAGTTGGACAGTTCTGCAGAATATTTCCAAGGAACCACCCACTGAAGACAATGGGACAGCTATGGAATCAGAGGAGGCTGGCCGTAGGAGGAAACCATGGCAGTGAAGGTGGGATTGTGATGGTTGAGGCTATGTACATCTGAGTAAGAGATCATACGTTCTCACCATTGGCATGCTCCAGCCAAGCTCCTACTTGTTGGTCCCCACTATGTATGGGACAGTGTGGAAATTCTTCTCAGCCAGAATTTCTTCTGGTGACTTTGGCAGCAGCACTCCATCAATCACAGCGGGCAAGAAAGGATAGCTCTGAGGAAAAGAGAAATGTAATGCCTGTGAGTACCCTACCCAGGTAACATCAGTGTCTACTTATTCTGTCTGGGGGCTGAGCCACCACTTAGACTTCAGTGGCTATGGCCACAGAAACTCAAGGTCCCAATGGGAGCTAAGTCTATGAGTCATCAAGGGCAAAAGTGTGATTAAAAAGAGAGAAATGGTAAGATGATACTGGTAGGAAATGGATGTGGGAACTTTCCCAAAGTCAAGTTTCTACCACAATGATGTACATATCTCAATTTGTAGTTTGAGTTGCAAAGTTGCAGCAAATCCTGAATTAACAAATATTGAGTCATTGTCCAAAAGTAATTCTAGAGTTAGGTCTTGGGGTCTTTTCATCCTTTTTTTGTTTGATGTGCCTATTTATGTTAAAAAACATATAATACAATTTTCTTCCAAAATATTATTTACATAGAGAATTTATTTATAACAAAACACTAGCTGGGAAGGATGTAGTATTTTTTTTACTCCAAGTAATACAATTGTAAATTTATTTGGCTTTTGCCTCATCACTGTGCTGTCCACTGTTTTTAAAACTGTGTTATAGGACTGGACAGATGGCTCAGTAGTTAAGATCACTGGCTGCTCTTGCAGAGGACCCAGGTTCAATTCCCAGCACCCACATGGTGGCTAACAACCATCTGTAATTCCAGTTACAGGGAAATCCAATGCCTTCTTCTGACCTTTGGGGGCACTGCATGACACGGGTGCACTTACATACATGCAGGCAATATATTCATACACACAACAAAGATAAAGATAAAATATTTTTTAAAACTTTGTTATCTCATGAGCCCAACAATTTAGCTCACTCCCATCCTTCCCACCTTAGTCATATGCTATAGGTACCACATGACCACTCTGTAGGATGGCCTCACCCTCAGCTCAGCAAATCTCCTCTCTTTTAGACATACTGTATTCTTGACTCGTCAACACCGACTTCATGATCAAGAGCATCGTAACTGAAGCCTGAAGGATGCTCATCTGCTCCAGGGATCTTCTCTGTAGGGCCTCTAATAGCATTCTGTGCTTGGGGACACTACAAAACTACTTATCATCATGCCTGAGAGCACTTTAAACAGGGGAATTATTTAAAACAGGAAAACAGCTAGAGGTTCATCAATGGATAACTGGATAATGAAAACATGGTATGCATCCACAATAGAATTTTATTCAGCTGTAAAGAAAAATAAAATGAAATTTTCAGGGAAAAAATTATTGGAGCTAGGAAATAGAATTTTAAGCATGGTAACCCAGACTCAGAAAGACAAAAATTGTGTATTTTTATCATATGCAAATTCTAGATTATGATGTTTATGTGTTTAAGGGGGTGAATGTGGATATGAAACTAGGGCACCACTAGGGGGAAAGGATGCATTAAGGAGGTGGATGGGGAGAGCAATGAGACACATGACGCGATAGGAAAGCACATGCTGGCTGATGAGGAAGGGGTGGAAAAGAATCAACAGAAGTGTTCTGAAAATGACATAATGAAGCCTAATGTATAGGTTATTTAAAATAGTTTTAAAACAAGCAAATAATTGTTTTTAAAAAGGTGACACCAAACACAGCACAATGAGCACGAAAGGAAACAATGAGAGAGAGTGCTTCTTTATAGATCTCAGATGGGACCTGGGCATTACACACATTGTAGACCCTGAAGTATCCTAAGTATTGATCTGAGGCATGTTTTGTAAGACCTACTTCTTGGAAGCAAGGGGATTTGTCTTATAGTCAAGGTCAGGTTTTTACAAAGGAAGGTAACATGTTCTCCCTTGTTTTTGAGGTTGTGTCTAATGATACCAGGGGACATGGAGTGAAATGGGATAGTACAGGCGGAGAATGCTAAAAGCAATGAAGACAGAGAGCGTCCAGGTGGAGCTGCCTGCTAGAGGAGGTCCCCCACATTAGCATCTCTGAGACCTGAGACTTGACAATGTTCCTCTGGGGTGCTGGTGGCTGCACTGTGGTGTTGTGTGTATTGCTGTGATGCTGTGCATTGGCTGCTTGGGTCATAGGGTCAGGTTCATCCTTCATTCAGTTCTTTTCCCCACATCCATAGCAAGTCCTACTCAGATATTCCTTCAAAGTGCACAGACTCCAGCAATGTCTGGCCATCTCATTGTCCATGCCCTGGTATATCACACCAGAATTCTTTGCCTGTGTTACTGTTTCACAAAGGACTCTCAGATGGTCTGGACCTCTCCCCTGACCTTTTCCTATAACCTATCGATGCATTGTAATCCAAGAGACGTGCAAATTCACCACATCACCGCTCTGCTTAAAGTCCTCTAAACACCTCCCTTCTCATGCCAAATCACAAGCCAAGTGACCAACCCCACTTCCTACACCCTCTACCTCCTTTCACTCCAAACACAGTGGCTTCCTTCAGCACTGTTTTGCAACTACAATTCTCTCTTCCTGGAGAACTGCCTCCTCTAGGTTTCCTGACATATGGCAGACATCGCTCCTTCAGAGCGTGACTCAGATGCCACCAACTCTTCAAGTATAGCCTGACTCTGTTCTTCAAATAAACCACTATCTATCCGTCTCATCTCCCCTGTATTTTGCCTTGACTCTGACCATCAGTTTAATAATTTATTTTCCTACTGCAACCCCCGACTATAATAGAAGTTTCTAAGAAAGTAGATCATATGTTTCATTGTCATGTCCTAGCTCCTAAGTTCCATCCTGCCACTGAATAACTGTTTCTTAAAACTTTTCTGATTAATCTCAGAAATAGAAATAATCTCATTTCATTCTCATAGAACTTTTGAGGGAAGTGCTGGGATCTCAGGGAGGGAGTAGGCAGGCGATGGGACTATAGATGTTGCATAGCTAATGTCTCTGGATCCTGGCCAGTGCTGAAGGCTGGGGGACATGAGGAAGATAAGAGAGGACACTTTGGAGTTTCCTGGACACTGGAAGCAGGGTGGTATCTGTAACACTGAGATCTCAGGCTCCTCCCTCACACTGCATCAGCCCTGGATCCTTTCAAGAAACCTGTGTTCCACAGTGAGGGCTCTCCAACACCTCCTCATCATCTTAGTCTCCTGGGCATAGAAGGGTCTAGTGAATCCCCTTCCCACAGAGTCATGTTAGGAACCATGAAATGTCCGTTAAAGCGGGATATGTGAACCCAGGAGACATGTATTTTCTGACTGAGAGCACTGAATCAAGCCAGGCCATCCTGCCTTCGTCCTACTGGCTGTGTTACCCTGGTAACCCTCCCCATTCTAGACCTCAGTAGGAATAGTATGAGTCTACAAAGGAGAATTGTTTTGGACTTATTGGTTAATTTAGAAAGCAAGGGTTCTTACGTCTCTGGGGTATCCAAGAAAATGAAGAACAGCAAATTTCTGTGTAGACAAAGGCAGAGAATGTTGGTGGTAAGAAAACTTCTATGTACAAAAGCTGGTCCTTTGAGCTGTGCCATTTCAGGTATTAGGTTCTCTGCTCTGATTCCAACTTGCCTGGGCCAAGGCTAAGAGAACCTACACTGGGTCTTCTGGGCATGGGCAAGGGTGGAGCAGGATGAGGGAGGGCAGCAGCGAGGGATAGGCACTGGGTCTGCTCAGGGATGCTGGAGCTTAGGTAGGACCTCTGCTGCCTGTGTTCCTCTTCATTTCTTCTTCTCTGGACTTTATTGGTTCTCTGTGGTACCAACACCCTAATTTACCCCCTGGAGAGTAGTAGAATTAACTCAAGGTGACCATGGGGTGTATACAGAGGCCTCAAAGGTAAATAAAGCTATGCTTCTGATGGACTGGCAGGAAAATATGTTCCCCTCAAACTTTCCCCCACATTTCCCCTCCCTCACTCCTGCTTCATGAATTCAGGAAGCTACATGTGAGCCAGGACAGTTTTTCCTTGAATATAGAAAATAGAAAAATTCCAGATTCCAACAAGATCTCAGCACTCCACTGCTCAGGTCCTTTGCTTGGATTGATACAGTGCTGGGTCTTCCCAAATGCACTTTCTGCACTGACACACCACTTCAGTCTGTTTGCCCATAAGTCAGAGATCTTGGTAAAACTTTCCCAATTGAGTTTTCTCTAAAAATATTGCTTACATTTTGAGGCTAGTTAGCAGTTCAACCAGGTATTGTGAGTAAGTCTGGAGTTCTGAGTTCCTTAACCTCCTAAGAGAACAGACTGTTTCAGAGAGAAGCCACTCCCCACCCCCACACAAAATAGGAAAGGAATGAAATCTAAGAAACAGAGATAGATACACTCCTGGCAGTTTCTTCAGGCATTTGAGTACAGCTGTGCTCTAAGATATTTGCTCCAGAAAATTACTCAAAAAGTCTGCTATAACACATTTTGTTTTCTGTTCAAGGAAACTTAAAAAGAATATTCTGGGACTGGAGATATGGCTCAGCGGTTAAGAGCACTGACTGCTCTTGCAGAGGACCCGGGTTCGATTCCCAGCACCCACATGGCAGCTATGAACCGTCCTTAACTCCAGTTTCTAGGGAATCTGAAGCCCTCTTCTGACCACCGCAGCACTGCATGGCACGGGTGCACTCACATACATGCGGGCAATACACTCATACACATAAAATAAAAATAATAAAAATATAAAAAAGAATGTTCTGCCCAATATCAGAAAGCTATGATACCTACAATCTTGCTGAGATTCATCCTAACATATGCATTTCTTTGTGAAAGAGTGTACTGATTGCTATAGTTTAACTACAGGGTCTCTCCTGTATGTGGAAAGCAGGTACTAGGCTATCTCCACTCAGTATTGTAGTCTCACCAGCAAAGTGTGTACTAAGTATTTATACACACCCATGAATATGACCATAAGTGCACGTGAGCTGAGGTCAGGGGATAATCCTGGAAGCACTTCCAGAAGACCTTAGAAAACCTCAGTATGGCCTGGGAGCTTAGGTTCTCTGAGTTTCCCCCAAAATACCAGCTATTCCTATGTGAGCTGGGTCCTCCAGTGCCAAATGAAATATTTGCATTTGGAGCTATTTAATGAAATAACAGTGTTTTAACTATTTGAATAACTTGACCACCTTATCTAAGCCTGAGGATGAAAGCTCTTAGCCCACATTGACTCAATTCATGGGGTCCAGATATATCCTATAGTACCCAAGGCCCAGTTGTAGAAGAAAAGAACTTGGGTGATTCCTGGATTCCTATTCACCCCTTTCTCACAAAGGAACTAGTTCCTTTGGCCATATCCTACCATTCTTCTTAGTGATGGCAGACACCTGTGACTATTCACCAATCTCTCAATGTCACTTCATTGAGCAATAATCATCCTGACTATTGTTAATGTTCTTCTCCCTGAACTGCCACCACATTCAACCCAACACAGCAGTGATTCTTCTGGAACAGCTCTATGTGATCAGGGATAATGTCCAGTTTATATCTTCATAGTCTCCCATTTCACTTCCCTCCGTATACTGATCAGAGTTACATGGACAAACAGACAAGTGGATAGATGGATGCAGTTGCCAATAAAAATAATACTGTTGGTTTAGGTGTATTCATTGATAAACAGGTGAAAACCAAGAGATATGTTAAGGATGGACCATTGTTTTTGGAGGACTGAGTGGAAGGATGTGGGTAACGGCAAGCTGGATGGTTCATGGATGTTGGATAGACTGACACTAGGGATTAAAAGTTTTGGATGAATCTCTACGAGATTGATAAAAAGGTGATAAATAGGATTGGTTCTAGAAATGAGTGGGCAGATAATAGATGAATTGGTGAAGAAAAAATGGCTATGCTAGAGCTCTAACCAGGGTCTTAAAAACTCTAGAAAAGTGTGCTACTAACATGTTATAAATTAAATTTTACATCAACCAATATAAATTGTGACACTTCCTAAACAACCTTGTGTTGCACGTTCTTAACCCCAAAATTCAGTTAGATAGCTATGTGTGAGGACATGGTATTTTAATGTCTTAAAATACACCAATAAACAAAAATGTTTAAGAATTAAATTTTGATAAAGTTAGGAGACTATTTCTCATAACAGTAAATTTTTCATTATGTTGTTGTTGATATTTTTATATTTGAGATAATTCATAAGAAAATAATGAAAATTTTACTTAGATCAGAAAATTAACACTATTCTATGAGGTTAAGAGGCAGGCAGGTTAGAGGCAGAGGACAGATGAACCCATGAAGGTTTGGGCCAAACCTCCGTGGATGAGGCCACTTAGATTGGCATGCCTACCATTTTCAGTGTGATGCGTAAGAGCTCATCCTCTGTCTTCTGGTGCAGACAGCGAACTATGACAGCAGAGGTGGGGTTTTACACCCAGAAAGAGTAACAACTTTCTGTAAGAGATTGCAGGAAGCAGCAAAGGTCAAAAGCCAAGTTTCTTCCCTCTATCCATGTAGATAGTGAGTTCTATCCTATGCCTAGTTTCTAAAGACAGCAGGGGCTTGCTAAAACTACTCTAGGCCAGAAAATGTGGGCAATGGATCCCAAAAAGTATAACTTCTGCTACTGGTTAAACCAGTAACATGAGCTGGTTATATAATATCTGTCTCTATTAACTTGATTCTGATAAATGGTCATGTGCCCATCCCTAGAACAGCAAAGGGGGTGACAGATGTTCTCAAGGTTAAAGCCCCTGAAAAGGCTGCTTGAGATCAAGGTTAAATGTTTGAAATAAAGGATTTCATATTTGGTATCAAATCACACCTCTACCACTCACATGTCACTTTAGACAAGCCACTCAATCACTCTTGTGCCTCATTTTCACCACCCATAGATGAAAGTGATGATTAGATGTGATATGCACAAAGTATACACTAAATTGTGTGCCAAAAGCTGGACGCCTGAATGACATATTCCATATGAAACTTTTCAGAAAGTATAGGATTAGATTCGGGTCATAAGGCAGCCCTTCCTGCTCACTCATTCTTGTTTCAGACAATTTGTGAGCACCTCAGCTGAATCTTACAGCAAGAAAAATCCTTGAGCATACCAGAACAGAAGAGGAAAAGATGCAGGATCTGTCCAGGGTGACACCTACCTTAGCAATGGGCCTGGCACCTCTCCCAAACAAGCAGGGATTGAGGATCACTCTACTCTGAGAAATGGCCCTGTGGAAGAGGTTCTTAGCCAGTAGAGACAACACCTAGTGAGGGAGAGGAGAGTTTATGCTCACAGGAGGGGTCAGTGACTCACTTGCCCTTTAAGGCTCTGTCTACCTGCTACTCTGCCACAGCCATTCCCCTGGGGACCCTGTTGCTCTGTGGACATGAGAGGTCTTCACCTGTCCCAGCACACATTCCAGGTTCCCTATGGATCCACTTTCTTCAAAAGACTCACAGCAACATGGAACCAGAGTCCAAAATAGAAAACAGAACAGGAAATATGTGCCAAGTGCCCATCAGAACAATCAAAACTACTTTAAAGACAGTCTATCAATTCTTAGCCACAAATTTCTTTTCAGAAATTCATTACTCTGAATTTATCATAACAGAACAGGGGGTGGAGAGAATATTAATGCATCTATCAACTCTCACCAGTGAAGCTTCATCATGCAACAGAGTGTGATGGACACAGAAGGCCACAACTGGCCAAGATATAGAGAATAAGAGACGGCAGAAAGTGTGTCCCTGGATAGGACTCTTATATCAAACCTCACCCACTCATAGCTCGGGAATCATTGTGGAAGAGGGGATGGAAAGATTGTAAGAGCCAGGATTGGTAAATGAACATGAGGAAACAGAGTCTTCCAGGCCTCTGGGAACTTGTTCACATGAACTTTTAGCAATGGTCACAGCATGCACAAGACCCATGCAGACTCAGCAGACAAAAAACCCAGCACAGAACTGGGGAAATGGGCAGCAGGCCCCAGCCTTAGGCAAGGAACTATTGGCAACAGATTCCTGCTGGGTAAGGGAGAGGTGATCTTCTTTAAAGGAGTGACTTTATATAGGCTGACTAGACTCCAATGGATGAACTTGCACCAAGGGACATCTGGGTACAAAAGCTTGATTCGATAAACCTTAACATGTATGACAGAATGCATAAAATCTGGTGGAAGGGTATGGGGGGTACAGCTGAGGGAGAGGCTCTAAATGTGATTAAGATTTATTTATGGAATGCACAAAAATTCAGTAAAAATAAACATAAGAAAGAATTTATCATAAGGAAGGTGATCATATAGGCCCATAAAATTTTCTAAGCATGGTAATAATGCTTATAATGTTCAAAATCAAAAATAGCACGAGGTTACAATGAGATTACATACATAAACTAAGTTTCATTGTTACATTGGAATGCTGTACAGCTATAAAAATAATGTTTCAGAAGCCTGGTTGCTATTGAAAGAAATATTTGTTACAGTGTTATAATAAATATTTTTAATTATAAGATAAAATTACTGAGATACACATGGAGAGACTATTGAATAGGTGTTTGAAGGAATAGATAATAGACAGCTGAGACATACAGATCAATAAATTTGTGGGAAACACAAATGCCCACAGTGACTACTACTAGATACCAGATTTTTCCCTTTGGGTTTATTTTCTTTTATATTTTGGGTTGTTAAGGCAATGTCTTATTACATAGCCCAGAATGGGCTTTGGTTGGCTCTGTAGCCCAGGCTGGCTTTGATCTTCTGTCCTTCCTGCTTCAGCTTCCTGAGTTCTGGGACTATAGGCATGTAACATAATGCCCAGCTTCTTTGGGTTTGTTTATATTTCTTCTTTGTCTCTATTTTTAAAAGCATGAACATTTTCTTTAGGAATCAAAATATAAAATGCGTGCTTGAAAAAAATGTATTGTGGCTGATTCTCTCCTGAACTCTGAGGGGGGTTGGAGGGGTTCTCAAAGCCGCCAGTGTCTTCTACTGCGTCCCTCGGTGTGCTGCTGTACTTTGTGCCTCACCCTGAAGATGCTTTATATCTCACAGTTGGGCCCGTGACCCACATCCCCTGTCCATTCTCCATTTCAGTTTACATCTGTGTTTCCAATAACCGAGGTACCCCAGCCCACCTTGTTCCTCAGTCCCAGAGAATGCTGCCTTCCATCGTGGACATAGGAAAACCATCAAGTTACCTCCAGGGACACCCCTGCCTGTTTTGAGCGCTTTAGTACCCTCAACATGTAGCTCCAGCCTGGAACCAAACAATGACATATGATTCAACTATGTCATCCCCCCTTTTCCCCTTGATTTTATGTCATTTTGTTTTTAATTTTACTTACTTATTTTTATTGAATTTTTGTGTATTTCATAAAAAGTATCTTAATCATCTTTACCCTCTCCCCTACCTGCACGCTTCCATTACCACCCAATAGGATTTCATGCATTCTGTCATTTATGTTAAGTCCTATCAAGTCAAGTTATTATACCCAGTTGTCCCTCAGTGCAAGTTCATCCACTGGGGTCTATTCAGCCTATTTAGAGTCTCTCCCTTAAAGATCAACTCTCCCTCACCGAGGAACAATCAGCTACCAATAGTTCTTTGGCTAGGATTGAGGTCTGCTGCCCATTTCCCCAGTTCTATGCTTGAGCTTTGCTATTTGGAGTTTACATACCACACACCCTAATGCTAAATTGATTATCAAAGAGAAAGAAAATTCAGTAAGTAAGGGGAGAATGGCATGGTGAAGTCTATAGCTGGTGTTTGTTATGACCCAGGATATAAAGCTGAGCTCTGTGCTTCCTATGGCTAGATTGACCGGTCTCCAAGAGATCCCACCAGTAGCTATATCAAGCCTGGACAAGAGGCCTGGTGTCAGGAACACTTACAAAAACAGAGACACTTGCACCTCATCAGACTCCTGCTGACTCTCCAAAGATAGTCACAGTTCCTGGGTCACCTCCAAAGTTGGCAATGTTGTCTTGGACCCAGTACAGTGCAGTTATCTGGTCCAAATGACCCCAGTTCCCCCTGCTGTGTTCATCTCCTGTGCTGTAAGACAACAGTGGGTCGGGGCAGAAGTGCCATAGCTGGGTTCTCAGGCCTAGAGAAAGACTGAGGCTCTCAGTGAGCTTTCTGAAATAACAGCGGGCTCTGCATCACTGACCTGAGTCTTTACCTGCCTCTCAATGCTACAGCAATGTTCTATGGGGGGACTCTGCACTCTGTTCCAAAAACTATGAACACCTGGCTCCTACTGCAGACCACAAGCCAACAGATGAAAAAAAAATACCAGCTAGTGGAAAAAATAAAATTAGGCAGATGTGGGACTGAAGGGTGGTATTTCAGATTGAAAAATCAGAGACCTCACTGAGGCAAGGGCATTTAGTGCAAATATGAATGAAATGAGAAAGAGAGTGTCGTAGACATTCAAAGTAGGAAACTGCAGTCAGGAAAAGCAGTGGGCATGAAGGTCCCAGGGCCCCAGAAGCAGAAGTGTGAATGTAGGCAGTGTGAGATGCAGATGAAGCAGGTGCTGTGGACCTTGGTGAGGACTTCTGTCATTGTAAATAACATGGAAGCATTGTGGAGAGTAATGACAGACTCTGGGCACTGTGTAGTATCAAAAGCTGCTATAGCAGATTTGTAATAATAAATGCTTATAATAATTGTATGGCCGGGCACCTGGGGTTCTTACTAGAGCTTTGGCAAGGAGCAGCACTGAGTGCTAGGGTTTGCATAAGGTTTGCTTACCAAGGGTTCAGTGTGGGAGTCTGGGGTTCTATTATTGCATTATTTGACCATGATAGGACCTGTAAAATGTGAGGTCTAATGGAAGATTATTTGCTCACTGGGGATGCAGCTCTGGGAAGGAATTCATACAAATCTCCTAGTACCCTAATTATTTCTTCAGTGAATGAGTTTTTTAAAAAAGAAAAGGGGGATTGCCCCCTCTCTCTGGCTTTCTGCCTTAACATGTGATCTGTCTGCATATTCAGGTTCCATTTTTCATTTCTGTACAATGTTGTGGCACAGCCAAAGTCTCTCACCACTGGCTCCTCTGATGAAACCATAACAATCTCATACTTTCAGCTCTCAAACTCCAAGCTAAATAAGTTCAAATTCGATGTAATTCCACACCCTCAAGCCTTTGCTTATATCAACAGAAAAGACACCAATTCAGGGATAAATGTTTAGAGAAGAAATGCAATATTTTACCTGAAGAAACCCCAGATGCCCAGGCAGTATTGGATGGTCACCACCACCACATTTTCATGAACAGAGAGGGGCAGTCCATCATAAGTTGATGCCCCATCTACCAGTCCATCTCCATGGATCCATACCATCACCTAGAAAAAGATACAACCACACAGGGGGCACACTGGGAAAGACTACAGAGGTCATCCAGCTTGGTCACCAGTGCCCAGCAAGGCAGTCTGTCTCCTTCCCAGTTCAGGCCTGTAATGTCGTAGCACTGGACCCTTTGGTCTGTGAATAGGAGCCTTCTTGATTTCTAGCCCTTCATACCTTTGTCACAGACCAATGAATGTTATCAAGGTACTGTGGATAGAAAGGTGAGAGTGGCTGCTTCTCCTAGTCCATATCAAGGAAAGTTTTAACCATCAAAAGGCCCACACTATTGCCCACCTACCCACTGTGTGCCCTAGCTTCCCTCACTAGAGCCTTAGTTTCTCCTTATGTAAAGAATAAGTTGGATTGTCATATGAATTGTACTGAGACTCAGTGGATTATGAAAAACAAAACAAAAAAAGATGACATAAAGTAGGGAAGGGGACATGGTGTAGGAGATTTAGGAGGTATTCAAGGTTTGGGTGAAGGTGAATCTGACCATAACACATTGTATACATGCTCAAAATTCTCAAAGAATAAATAAATTAGAATATATTTTACAAAAGAACCAGCTAGAGTTTTCAATTTTCTCTTTCCTCTCAGCTTAAATTTAATGAAAATTACAGCTCAGGGGATCAAATTTTTATCTTAGCAATTAAGAATCATCATTATTTTCCTACTTTTAGTGTGAGAGAACTTGGAAGTGTAAGAGGTGTGTCCCAGATACAAAGCAACCTCCACTGAACTCTGATGTCTCTGGAAGAAAATGAGGGAAAGGAAACAATGTTCTGGGGGTTATAGAAGCTTTGGGCCCCAGAATCAGCCCTGGTCTGGGTACTCCTGCCCCCAGCTGTCTTCATCCCTTTCCAGTTACACAGAAAATCTAGATGCTGTAACTCAGGAGTCTGGGCCAGGGTCCCTTCCACTTACTGGCAGCCTGCTATTCTTTGTCAAGTCAGCAGGAGTGTAAATATTTAGGTAGAGACAGTCTTCAGAAAACTTGAGAGGAATCCTCTTCTTTCTGTTAGTAAAGAGCTCTGAGAGCATCTGTCCTGACACTGGGTCTTGGGAACACCTGCAAGTAAGAGGGAACACCTGAGGTTCGACCAGAGAGAATCTGAACATGTCATCATGGCTCAACCTTGCACTGGAAAGCTTGAGCCTGTATATGATACTGGTACCAGAGCACAAAAGTCTCTATGATTACTGGTGGGTACTCCAAGGTTCCCTACAAAGGGAGAAGGACTTGGCACGTCTCCCCTTTCCAGAGCCTTTGGGATGCTTTGGGCTCTGAAGAGAAGTGCTTATATACTGGCTTACCCTAGGAGGTCACATTTCCTGCAGTGCCCTGCTCCCTGCTGAGCTTTGTATGGTAGACTGCAGGGTGACCACCATCCTCCACCCCAGGAAAACATGGCCTAGTCCTTGGGAGATGTCCATCAACCAGAAGCACTACTTCCAATATCCCTGTACCAGGTCAGGGGCTGTATCTTAGTTGTGCTGCAACTACTGATGTCTGAGCAGATACTTGTAACTGTCTGAGCTGCTCTGGTGGTTGTTGTTAGGTCCCTGGATCCTTCAGGCTTCTGCACTTTACCAGCTAGGTTGACAGAAGCACCCCCAAACAATCAGGTTGTGATTAAGTAACTAGATGCATACTATTGTACTGTTACACATCACACCCACTCCACTTCCAAAGAACACCAAAGTTGAAGACAGGAGAATAAATTGCCTGAGGATAGTATTTCTCTGACCTGATTCAGTGAGCATTTCCCTAAACATTTAACACACGCTAATATGTATATAGTTGTTCTGTTAGTTTACGTACAGTGCATTATCTACCTCTTCCTGCTATAATACAAGCCAGTGAGAGTTGGGATCTTTGTTTTGTCTCTAATTGTGTTTCAGAACCAAGATTATGCCTGGCACATAACAAATACCTGCTTAGTAATGGGTTCTAGAAAGCTCTGACAGTCCTAGGAAGTACTTGAGATACTCCAGTGTTCCTAAGGACACCAGAAGAAAGTACAAGCAATCAGGGAACTGCTTTGACTCCTTTCTGCATAACCCTCAGACAGATATCCCTACTGAAAGAAGCCCAAGTCTACTCCAGTGTCTTACATGGGAGGGTAGGAGGTGGCATTCTTCACGAAGCTCCATGGCTCTGCTGGCTGTGGTGGAGAAAACCTCAGGGATCCAAGAGGGGGCCTGGCAAAGGGGACGCCCAGGAAAACGGCCACAGGCTGTGTGAATCCTTCTAAGCTGACATACTTCCCCAGGACTTTGCCATGCACAGTGTTCACCACAGGTGGTGAGGACGGGTGCCCTGCTGAACAAGAGAACGATTCCAAGTGAGTGTTCCCAATTTCTGCGCACTGGCTTTAAGCCACTTCAATTCTTTAGGCTTCTGTTTCTTTGCATGTAAAATAAAGATAAATAAAACTGTTTTTCTTAACACTGAGATGATGGAAGGAGTAAAATGGAATTGATGGTACAGCATCCTGCCAAAGTAGTTGACCTGTTGGAAATTAATCAGAACGTTGGCTTCCCTCATAAAAAACACTCTAGAAATACTTACCTATTAGAATCTCAGTGCTGAGGTGCTGCATGCTGAATAAGAGAATGAATAGGAGATGGACCGTAGCTTTGTGAGGCTGACCTCATAGAGAAAGGACCATAGACATATTTGTCTTAATTCTGGTAAGAAAGAAGTGTGATGTAGGAGAGGGACAGGAAGGGGATACTGAGATACTGAAGTTGGAAGGAATGAGACCTTCTGATTGGTGTCATCATAGAGGAACTGGGACTTTTATCTGAGGGAGGAGTGAGTAAGGGAAGATGAAAAGTGAGGGTGATTGAGAAAGAATAACCACAAGTGCAGAGGCCTGGAGAAAGCGTAACCCAGGGCCTTTCTGGGAAGGGAGAATGGCATGTGAATGTCTCCAATACAAGAAGAGTGGGCGACCATCTTGATAAGCAGGTGCATGTCAGGGAGGATGCTGAATGTGTGGCCCAAGGATTCAGCTTTATTTAGTCGACAAATAAGTAGGAGAAATAGTTCAAGAATAAAGAACACCATGAGGTTTTAGAATATTCTTCTCATGACTCTGAGCATGATTATCCAGAGAGAGGGGGAGGGAGAGGGAGAGAGCAAGAGCGCGAGCGAGAGCGAGAGCGCACATGCATGGGCGTGCGAGAAAGAAAGAGAGAGAGAGAGAGAGAGAGAGAGAGAGAGAGAGAGAGAGAGAGAGAGAGAGACTGGGCATCAGCCTTGCTCTAAACATTGGCTCCATCCTTGCAGAGTAAATACTCTTTTTTTCATCTCCCTGTAGCTTCTCATCTGCCTTCATTCTACTTACTTTGAGACATGAATGAACCAACATGATCCCCCTTCAGACTGGCACCTCAAAGCTTCATCTCTACTGGTTAACATGCACAACAACTGAGGGAAAAAAGCAATCAACAGTCTTCACCAGCTCTGAGCACTGTGAACTACAACTGGCAAGATACATGCACTGGTACAGTAGTGATACGAACAATATGGAGTAACCAACCACTTTCTGATTGGATTTAAGACCTGCTCCACATAACAGAACTCATACTTGGTACCATTAGCTGGACCAAGAACCCAGAGTTGGGTAGGTCATAGGCCCTAGGGGAGAACATACTACTACCATTCTACTAAACGGACATGTTATTAAACTGCCCCCTAAGTACTTATCTTTATAACCATAGATAGTGCTCTTTTTGCACATGCTCTCAAGCCTCATCAGAGAAGCTTCATTTAACAGTACATGGTGATTAATACAGAGAGCCACAACCAGTCAATGCAGAGAATAAGAATGTGGAGTGCTCAGCCATAAATGGGACATCTCTATCATACCCTCTATTTCCGAGGTTCAGAAACTGTCATGGAATAATGGGAGGAAAGACTGTAAGAGTGAGAGGCAGTGGGTGACTCAGGAAAATAGTGTTTCTGGACATGACAGGGCCATTGCACACATGAACTCATGGTGGCTATGACAACAATCACAGAACAAGCACAAAATCAAGTCACATAAAAATCACATAAAATGGAGCCTTACATGCATGTACAAAATTCTCAATAATTTTTTTAAAGTTAAAAAAATTGAGGCTGGAGAGATAGCTTGGCAGTTAAGATTGCATACTAGTGTTCCAGAGTACCTGAGTCTGAGTCCCAGCACCCACATCAGGCAGCTCACAACTGCCTATAACTCTAGCTCCAGGGAATCCGATGCCCTCTTCTGGCCTCCACAGACACTTGTATTCATGTGCACATGCCCCCACTGTACACAAACACACACACACACACACACACACAAATTTTTTAAAAACCTTAAAAAATAAACTCATAAAATGGATAGGAGGACATTATTTCACCTGTAGCTGAGGACCTATTGGCAGTTAATGACAGCTGAAAGAGGAAGAGTCTATTTTATTGAGGGATGGGGCCCCTCAGAAGCTATGTATGCTCCATGAATGGCCCTATACCCATGCACATACAAACAGTGTGGTTTAAATAGGCGTAACAGGACCTCGGAGTAGGGATCAGGTGGCAGTACTGAATTACCAAAGACAAGGTGAGTGTACTTAATGTAATGGGCAGCAAAGGCAAAATAATATCTACAATGGCATGACTCGAATGGACCTGTGGTACTGGCTAATCAATCATGATGTTTCCAGGAACCACATACTTAAGAAACCTACTAAGTTTTTATTTGATCTGTGTAAGGAGAAAAGCTCTAGGACGAATGACAGGAAGTCAGTATTGGATCGTAGCAATAGAGAATCTTGCTCAGTCAACCGATTTCCAGACTTGAGACAGTTTACAGACTCAGAACCCCTTGAATGAAGGGAAGGCCAAGTGCCCTTGAGAAAGGACTTTGTCACAGTACCAAAGAGTTATGCTGTTCACCTCTCACCCATCCTTCCCAAGAGGGACCTGCGGCCTTTTACTAGAGTAACTGTACATTGGGGGAAAGGAAATAATCAGACATTCTGAGGCCTATTGGAGTCTGGTTCTGAGTTGACAGTGATTCCAGGAGACCCTAAAAAGCATTGTGGACCTCCAGTTAAAGTAGGGGCTTGTGGAGGTCAGGTGATAAATGGAGTTTTGGCTGAAGTCCGACTGATAGTGGGTCCAGTGGGTCCCTGAACTCATCCTGTGGTTATTTCCCCAGAACCAGAATGTATAATTGGGATAGATATACTTAGGAATTGGCAAATCCCCACATTAGTTCCCTGTCCTGTGGAGGGAACACTATTATGGATGGAAAGGCCAAATGGAAACCACTGGAATTGCCTCTGCCAGGGAAAACAGTGAACTAAAAACAGTATCACATGCCTGGAGGGATTGCAGAAATTAGTGCTACCACCAAGGATTTGGAAGATGCAGGGGTGGTGATTCCCACCACATCTCCCTTTAACTCTCCTATTTGGCCTGTGTAGAAGACACAGTTACAGCGCAAATTAGGTTGCAATAGCCTGGAGAGCTGGGACAGGGTCCTCCAGAAGGCAGTGTATGCTTTGAATCAGCATCTAATACATGGTACAGTTTCTCCTATGGCCAGGATTCACGGGTCCAGCAATCACGGGGTGGAAGTGGGAATGATTCCACTCATTATCACCCCTGGCGACCCACTAGGAAAATTTTTGCTTCCTGTACCCTCGACTTTGCACTCTGCTGGCTTAGATGTTTTGATTCCAGAGGAGGGAGTGCTTCTGCCAGGAGAGACAACAAACATTCCATTGAACTGGAAACTAAGACTTCCCCCTGGCCCACTATATTGATGATGTTATGCTGATTGGATCCAGTGAGCAGGAGGTAGCAGACAGTCTGGACTTGTTGGTTAAGCATATGCGCATGAGAGGATGGGAAATAAATCCAACCAAAATTCAAGGGCCTTCTACCTCAGTGAAATTTCTAGGAGTTCAGTGGTGTGGAGCACGCAGAGACATTCCCTCTAAGGTGAAGAATAAGTTGTTGCATTTGGCCCCTCCCTCCACTAAGAAAGAAGCAAAATGCTTGGTGGGCCTGTTTTGGATTCTGGAGGCAGCACATTCCTCATCTGGGTGTGTTACTATGACCCATGTATCAAGTGACTCAGAAGGCAGCTACTTTGAGTGGGGCCTGCAACAGGAAGGGGCCCTTCAACAGGTCCGGGGTGCTCTACAAGCTGCTCTGCCCCTTGGGCCATATGATCCAGCAGACCCGATGGTGTTTGAGGTATCAGTGGCAGATAAAGATGCTGTTTGGAGTCTCTGGCAGGCCCCCATAGGGGAATCACAGTGGAAGCCATTGGGATTTTGGAGTAAGGCTTTGCCTTCATCTGCAGACAACTATCCTCCCTTTGAGAGACAGCTCTTAGCCTGCTATTGGGCCTTAGTTGAAACTGAACGTTTGACAATGGGCCACCAAGTTACCATGCGACTGGAGCTGCCCATCATGAGCTGGGGGTTATCTGACTCTCCCAAGACATAAAGTAGGCCGTGCACAGCAACAATCCATTATCAAATGGAAGTGGTATATGCATGACTGGGCTCGAGCAGGCCTGGAGGGCATAAGCAAGTTACATGAAGAAGTTGCCCAAATGCCTATGGTTCCTACTTCTGTTACAATGCCTCCTGTTCTCAAGCATGCACCTATGGCTTCATGGGGTGTGCCCTATGATCGGTTGATTGAAGAAGAGAAGACTAGGGCTTGGTTTACAGATGGTTCTGCATGCTATGCAGGCACCACTCAGAAGTGGACAGCTGCGGCATTACAGCCAATTTCTGGAACAACCCTGAAGGACATTGGGGAAGGAAAGACTTCAAAGTGGGCAGAACTTCAGGCAGTGCACCATGGTCATGCATTTTGCTTGGAAGGAGAAATGGCCAGAAGTGCGATTATATACTGATTCATGGGCTGTAGCCGATGGTTTGGCTGGATGGTCAGGGACTTGGAAGGAACATGGTTGGAAAATTGGTGAGAAAGACATTTGGGGAAGAAGCATGTGGATAGATCTCTCCAAATGCACAAAGGATGTGAACACACTTGTGTCTCATGTAAATGCTCATCAAAAAGTGGCTTCATCAGAAGATGAGTTCAATAATCAAGTAGATCGGATGACCCGCTCTGTGGATTGTCAGCCTCTTTCTTCAGCTATCCCTGTCATTGCTCAGTGGGCCCATGAACAAAGTGGCCATGGTGGCAGAGATGGAGGTTATACATGGGCTCGACAGCATGGACTCCCACTCATGAAAGCTGACCTGGCTACAGCTGCTGCTGAGTGCCAGATCTACCAACAGCAGAGACCAACACTGAGCCCCTGATATGGCACTGTTCCCCGTGGCACCCAGCTTGCAACCTGGTGGCAGGTTGATTACACTGGACCACTTCCGTCTTGGAGGGGACAGCGTTTTGTCCTTACAGGA